AATATTTAAATAATTAAAAAGTAAATCTTAAAAAGAAAAACACCTGAGGTTATGTACTTTTCAGAGCCTCCACCCCAAGTCACTCTTGGGGATCCCAGAACTGAGTAGAGAAGTGCTGGGAACACAGGTCTTGGGGAAGAATGTGTTCTTTTAGGTAAGAAAGGATGTTGATTTTTCAGCAAAAAGGGAGAACATGAAAACTCTAGGGGTCTGTCTTTGCCTTCCTTCCCAGCATTTGGGGTAAGTCCTGGGCCAGCCTTTATCCCGGGTGTCTTCCTTAGCTGCCTACATTACTCCACACATTCTGGATTTCTTGTTTCCCTATGGAAAGGTTTGCTGCGTCATAGACTCTTCCTTCTTCATATCTGGGGAGAAGAGCAGAGCTGAAGTTCTCAGGAGTGTGGTTGCTGAGGCTGTAAGAAGAAAGGGCACAGACCACACAAGACAGACAACATCTTTAAAGCCCCAGAGCAAGGACCAGTGAGATGGCTCAGTGGGTAAAGGTGCTGAAGCTAATGACCCGAGTTCATCCCCCAGGACCCAATTGGTAGAAGGAAAGAAGTGACCCCCACAAGGTACATATCCACAGGTACACACACACACACACACACACACACACACACACACACACACACAAAACCAGCCATTTGTAGCAGTTGTTGAGACTATGCCCCTGAGCCGTCCAGTTTCAGTAGATGGCGACAAAGGCACACGGAGACTTGGTGAGGCAGCCTGGGGCAGACTGATGCTCTCCAGGAGCTGCACTCATTCAGGCAATGTCTCTGGCCCTCTCCTCCTCACACTTGCCAGTGTCAATTCGTATATACAGTTATACTATAAACGGATATTTAGTGAATGATGCATGGAGCAATAGGGAATGGAAAGATGAATTTAGTCAAAGGCATTTAAAATGAACTTACACCACAGTTACAGCAACATAAAAAAAAATCACAGATGAACTAAAGAGTGATCTTTTAAATAGAGTGAAAAGAAAAACAGAAAGAAAGTGGAATATTACCAAATCTGTGATAAGAACTGTTTAATGGGGGTTAGGGGGTTAGCTAAGTGGTAGAGGGTTTGCCCAGCAAGCACAAGACCCTGGGTTGGTCCTCAGCTCCGGGGTTGAGCATAGGATGGGTGGTGGGAGGTGGGGGTTGAGGAGTGGTGAAGAAATTTTTAATTCTCAGAAGCAAAGAAAGCGTCAACAGAGTTGATTACATAAATTCTACAATGTCTGTACTTCTAAAAATGAGGACAAACAGAGAGAAACATGATTGGCACACTAGAGGAGAAGTCACAACAGTGTGACACAAAGGGACAACACAGTGGCACAAGCTCACAGAAGGTGGTTGAAGAGACCTTGATAGGGACTGGGGTGTAGCTAAGTGAAGAGAAGTTGCCTAGCATAGGTGATGCCCTGGGTTTGAGTCTCAGCACTGCAGAGGGTGAAAACCACCTCCAAACAAAAGCAACCAAACATTCTATGAGCTGGGCATGCTGGTACACCCATATAATCCCAGTTTGGTGGAGACTGAGGCTGGAGGAGTGTCTTGAATTTGAGGCCAATTTGAGTTACATGCTGAGACTCTGTGTAAAAACAACAACAACAAAACTTATGTGGTGACTCTTGCTTGTAATTCTAGCACTTGGGAGGTGGCAATGACAGGATCAGGAGTTCAAGGCCATATTGAATCAAACCAAGTAGGTTTGGGACCAGGTTGGGTTACATGAAACCCATTCTCAAAATAATGCCTTCCGAAACAAAACTGAAACCAAAACAGGTAACATAAACAAAAATGTAGAAGAAACACATTGTGACACTAGCAAGTTAACAGACAGAGAACACTTACAGAGATACTAAATGAGGAAATTAAGAGATAACCCTTTCAATAAAATATACAATTTATTAATGACTGGAGAATGGAAATCATTTATTTTGCTCACTAAACTTAACAACAAAATCTTTTGTTGTTGTTGAGACAGAGTCTCACTATGTAGCCCTGACTGTCCTGGAACTCACTATGTAGATCAGGCTGGAGCCAAACTCATAAAACCTGCCTCTGACTCCCAAGGGCTGGGGTTAAAGGTGTGAGCCACTCTGCTTGGCTCACAGTGCTCTAAAAATTGAGGGTACCCAAAGCTGGTAGGCGTAACTCAGCCAAGCCTATTTATTTATTTATTTATTTATTTATTTATTTATTTATTTATTCTTTGTTGTGCTGGGGACAGAACCCAGGTCCTCGAATATGCTAGGCAGGTGCTCTGCCACTGAGCTACACCCTCAGGCCAAGACAGGGCCTGTGCACACACTAATACTTTATTGGGTGGCAGCATGGCATCTTGTAATGTTGGTATGTATTAAAAGTTTTAAAAAGAGGGTTGGCCATGGAAGGTCTCACCCATCCCTGGGAAGTGGATGGGGGGTGGGATGGGGACGGTGGGGGGGGGGCATGGGAGGATGGGAGGGATCTGAGATGGATATGTAAAATAAGATTGTTTTTAAATTAAATAAATAAATCAATAAGAATAGTAAAAAAAGGGGGTTGGCGAGAGGGCTCAGTGATTTATAGAGAACATACCACTCTTTTTTTTTTTAACACTATACAATTTTGTTTATTGAAACTAAAGAAAAGTATGAATTCTAAAGTCTTTATCATATTGTTTACATGAATTGGGTTTTCTCTTCCATGAGTTCTTCCCTATTATCTCATAACAAGATGATACAAAAAGAATTCAAACATGTACAGGGCTACAGATATGCATGAGAAAAATTATGACAGGGTCACTGCTAGGACCTCGGTCATGTTTTTGAGAACTTTCTGTAGTTCCTGTTACAGGAATACTCAAGGGTCTAACCTTCTTGGGAACAACACACTGACATCACACAATTAAAATTCAATCAAATCTTTAACCAAATAGATTTTTACACATGAATATTTTCTCTTGTAAGCAGTTATTCCTGTAACACAGGTGTTGAGGCATTTAAAGTCTTTACAGTTTCCCTTCATCATGAACTGAGAACATACCACTCTTGAAAGGGACCTGATGGGGGAAATACTTCTGTGTATGTTTATCTTATTGATTGTTAAATAAAATACTGTTTGGCCAATGAGACAGCAAGTAGACAGGACTAGGAGTCAAAGAGGATTCTGGGAAATGTAGTAGAGAAGTGCTGATCCAGGCAGGAAGTGACATAGCAAGGAGACTCATATTTAAAGAAGGAGAAGCAGGAAGGGCTCTCTTTTCCCCTCCACTCCTGCTCCAGCAGCACAATGTGTTCCACCAGCCAGGAGGGACACCAATAAGGCGTCCGATAAGATAAGTCTCATAAAATATATGGATTTATGATAATTAAGACTGAGCTAACAGATGAGGAATGCTAGTGTTTGGTAAAGCAGCATTGAACCTAATACAAGTTTCTGTGTATTCATTTGGGCCCTAACTCGGGCAGGCGGCTGTCGTAAAGCTCACACATGGCAGTGGGGCTCAGGCAGCTTTTGGCAGAAAGATTTATCATAACAGGGACCTGACATTGGTTCCCAAAACTGAGGGTGGGCAGCTCACAACTGCCTGTAACTCTATGTCTAGAGGATCTGACACCTTCTTCTGGCTTCCTCAGGCTCTTGTTCACATGTAGCACAAACACATATACCTTGCATACATGCACACACACACACACAAATGAAAATAAAAATAAACATATATTTTAAAGACTTTAAAGTGTTCAGGTGGGTTGAAAAAATGACTCCAACTTGCTGCTTTCCCAGAGGGCTCTGGTTTGTTTTCCTGTACCTACATGGTGGCTCATATCCATCCATCACTCTGGTTCCAGGGGATCTGATGCTGTCTTCTGGCCTATGAGGGCACTCATACACATATCTCATACACACACAGACACAAAAGAATAAAGCAAGCCTTAAAAAAATATTAAGGTGGCATAGAGGCCCATGCCTTTAATTCCTGCAATTACTTGGGAGGCAGAGGCAGAGGCAGAGGCAGGCAGATCTTTGAGTTTGATGTCAGCCTGGTCTACAGAGTGAGTTACAGGACAGCCAGGGCTACACAGAGAAACCCTGTCTCGAAAAACCAAAAGGATAAAGAATTAGATTCTAGGTCCAATAATTTGTATCTGGGAACATATCATAATAGAAAAGCTGTCTGCCTAAGGACATTCTGATATTATTTTAAAATCAATATATGAGAAGCTTTGTTGTAAAATATAAATATTTTGAAATAAGCTAAAATTCAACGGAGAAACAAGTACACATATCTTTGTCATATCCACTTGGTGGACTGGCAATGCATATATTTTAAATGATGATTATAAACATTAGAAAATGACAAAACTGAAACAGGAGAAGCATTTCAGGCGAAGAACGATTTCTTCCTTTTTAAAGGATAAACAGACTCTTTGGAGTTAGAGTTGCTGTTTTCTTTTCTGTAGTCTCCGAAGGAAGAGTTTGTGTGTGAATGTGTGTGTTCAGGCACACAAGTGCTCACAAGTGTGCATGTGTACATGAAAACGAGGGAGGAAAGAAGAGACGCCATGGTGCCAGGGAGGGAGAAGTTGTTTAGAGTTGAATGGAACAACCAGAAAAACCCAGGATAGGATCTTGGAAGGTTCCCTGTGTCTGTCTGCGCCTGTGCTCAGGATGGGGAGACTAGAATCAGATCACCCCTGCCAGCTGTGAATTTGCAATCTGGCAGCTAAAGGAGACTATGTGCAGGAGATTACACTATGCATTGCCAATTTCAGAGAAGGATGTATAAGTGAAGGCCTTCTGGGAGAGTAAGGACTGAGATAGTCATTGAAGGCATTCCAGGAGACGTGAGGACTAGGGTAGCCAGTGAAGGCCACCTGGGAGAGGTGAGAATTAAAAGTGCAGACCTTTGGAGTAGATTCCACTAAGATGCATGGGATATGATGCAGGTCCTAATTGGATGTGCTGTGTGGGTCTGCTTTTCCCATGGCTATGCACTTGTTGATTCCAGGGCTCAGGATGCTGCTGCTGGTGCTGCTGCTGCAAGCTGTCCTGCTGCTTTTAGCCCTGCCCAACCATGCTGAGGTTACCATGGCTGAAGGGTCAGAAGTCCTGCTCCCTCCATCCAAGGAGACTTGTGCAGGTTGGATGGCAGGCATCCCAGGACATCCTGGCCACAATGGGACACCAGGTCGTGATGGCAGAGATGGCGCTGCTGGCGAGAAGGGTGAGAAAGGAGATGCAGGTATGAAGAAGAGTCCTGGACCGGGGGAGGGGGGACTCTGTGTCTGGGTCTGTGCTCAGGATGTAGAGTATGTGATACCAGTTACTAAGGCCTAGACAAGGGCAAGAAGCAAAACCTTTTCATGTGGTTCATAGGCATCTTGGAGCTTGAGTTGTCCTCTTTGAGTGAGATGAGGTGGTACCTACTAAGGTATCCATGACTTCCTTCTGTCTGCCTCTCCTTCCCTCTCCCTACCCTTGTCCATATTCCTAATGTATCCCTATTCTTGTTTCCTGTAGTGACATTTTGTTTACCCCCTAATTCTTGTTCTATCAGTTGGTATTCACCCACGCTTTTTGTGCACTCCTGGATCACTCAGTGGCTTTTAGAGAACGCTTGGTTTGGTCAAGAAGACAAGTCTAATGTACAAGACTCCGGTAGTGGTTGTGAAGACCAAGTGTCCTCCAGCATGCAACATGACAGTCAGAACGTGAGAAAATGCTGAAGGCATGGAATACAGAAAAAAGTGCATCCAGTGAGGATGTAGATTAATGACCAGGCTGTGAGGAAGAGGCTGGCTTGAGCTGCACCTCAAAGGATGGCTCCAGAGATTAGAGACGAGAGGACATCTGATCAGAGGGGATAGAAGGCAACACATGGATGGTTAGCCAGCATGCAAAGGACTGGTAGGGCAAATTAACTATGGTGGATGCTTACAGGAGATAAATTTCTGGACATTGGGGGACATGGAAAGGTCTGAAATGAAGGAATGACTAGATGAACGAGTAAATGGATTCATTATGATCAGAAAATCTACTAACCCCAACTGACTACTACTAACTCAGAGCCTCTACCAGATGAAATCACACAAAGAAGAATGAACCAGGGTGTATTGTCTAGCATTTGCTCACTCATCTTTTTATTTACTCATAACTTCAAAAATTAAGGTTGGGGATGAACTTATGGGGCCCCTCCAGGCTGTGGAGGGCATGTGGAGTGGAGATGACCTCGCTCCTTGTCCTGTTAAATGGGTTGTGGGTGGAGGTCCTGAAGCAGCTTGAGCAGCTCTGTTCCCAGTGGTCACAGTTCTTCTCACTTTCTAGGTCTTCTTGGTCCCAAGGGTGAGACAGGAGATGTTGGAGTGACTGGAGCTGAAGGGCCCCGAGGCTTTCCCGGAATCCCCGGCAGAAAAGGGGAGCCTGGAGAAGGTGCTTATGTGTATCGCTCAGCATTCAGTGTGGGGCTGGAGACCAGAGTCACTGTCCCCAGTGTTCCCATCCGCTTTACTAAGATCTTCTACAACCAACAGAATCACTATGATTCCAGCACTGGAAAATTCTACTGCAACATCCCAGGGGTCTACTACTTCTCCTACCATATCACAGTGTACATGAAGGATGTGAAGGTGAGCCTCTTCAAGAAGGACAAGGCTGTTCTCTTCACCTATGACCAGTATCAGGAAAAGAATGTAGACCAGGCCTCTGGCTCTGTGCTCCTCCATCTGGAGGTGGGCGACCAAGTCTGGCTCCAGGTGTATGGGGATGGGGATAATAATGGACTCTATGCAGATAATGTCAATGACAGTACCTTCACAGGCTTCCTTCTGTACCATGATACCAACTGATTGCAACCAGCTCAGAGCTCTCAATAGTCTAAGCACCCCAAGAATCAAATAATGGTCAACAAGCTTCCAGCATAGTTTGAAAGATTGATTTTTATTGTTTAGTGTGAGGGTTCTGAATATTATCCACACATGCACTCATTCATTCATGGAATGGCCTTATAAAAAAAATCATTTCTGTGTTCTTAGTGCAGAAAAAGAAGCATTCCCTGGTATCCACAACTCTTACATAGTAGCAATAATAGAATGAAAATAACATTTGAGTGGGGATTCACAATATTTTTCATGACTTAAGGAAGTAGAGAATGCTATTTTGTGTTCACTGTCTCTCTTGATGCTCACACAATTCCTGTAAGACACATATGAAATACAGCATCTCCTCTTTTTACAACTTGGGTCTTTCGGCTGAGTTTATGAATGTCTAAAGTTCTAAATATATTAAAATGGCAGAAGTAAAATTGAAGGCCAGAGCACAGTCTATTTCTATTGTAATTGTAGGTTAAAAAGGCCACCCAAAGAAACACACCCTGGCCCTAAAACCAGAGCCAAAAGGTTAAAAAGGGCCATTGAAAAAAACACACATTGGCCCTGAAACCAGAGGCAAAGAGACACACTCTGCTCCTGACCAACTCAGCATGAAAACCATGAACAGGAAGACCAACCAATCCCTGAGCACAAAACCAACTGATCCCTGAGTATGAAATCCAGTCAATCTCTGAGCTTGTCCCAGCTCAGAAATTGAAATCCAACCAATCCCCACCCTGAAAATCTTCATCCTGGAAAAACTCTGCCTCCTAAGAAGCCCTATATAAGCCCTGGGCCTGTTCGGTTGGGAGCTGCCTCTTTCTACCCTGTCAGAGGCAGCCACCTTCCTGAATTCCTCCCTCCCAATAAATCCTTTGAATGAAGTTTGGGTGAAGACCTTTGCTAGAGTGGAGTGGAGCAGAGAAGTAACAACTTTCTCAGAAGCAGGAGTGGAGCAGCGTAGAGCAGACCTGCTTTTGCTTGTCTAGAGTGTTGGAAGAAGTCTCTTGTCCACTTCATTTGAGGGTCTCATTTTACATCCACCAAGTAGAGCTCTCTCAGGGAAGGGGGTCCTACGTCTAGGTTCTATTCCAGCTGGTCTGATGCTCATTGGCTCCTTCCTGTTTCTGCGTCTGTGCTCATGCCCTCCCTTCCAGCTAGGGAAATCCCTTCCACCTCCACAAGTGGGTTGTTTCCTGAACCTCAAGGCCACTCAGATAGGAGATTTTCTGATGTGATCTCATTCCAATTCCCTCTGTGTGCCCACAGATGAAAGTCTGCATGTGAGACATGTTCTCCTTAGACTAGGAACAATTGCCAGCTAGATTGACGTTCCTCCCCCTCCGAATCCTCTGAAGATCCTTGACAGTTTCTCAAAAAGAAAGAGCTGTCTCCTGAATCCCATTTAGATCCATAATTTACTTCAGTTAAGTTTCTACAATATTCGTTCTTATCCGAAGAACCAGCTCATTTAGGAACACTGTGGGTTTAAGCTCCCAATCCCTGTTCAAATGGATAACTTCATCCTTTCACACCAAGGCAAAGGATGACTATGCCTTCTACCACACCCACAGAATTCTCCCTCAAAAAAGTAATTATTAGCCAGAAACACAAAGTACAGAGGAATTTGCCTCATTCTTTCCACAAGCACTGACAAGGTAGAGGAAAAAACACACTCTGCTCCCAACCAACTCAGCATAAAGACCAATCAGTCCCTGAGCAGGAAAACCAACCAATTCCTGAGCACGAAATCCAGCCATTGGTCCTCCTGAATTGAGTCTTGCTTTCTAAGGCTTACAGGTGGAAGGCCTGGAGAAATGACTTTGTGCTTACAAACACTTGCTGTTTTCATAGAGGACCTGGGTTCTGAGGCCAGCAGTCATACTGGACAGCTCACCACTACCTATAACTTCAGTTCCAGGGGATCCCATGTTCTTTTCTGGTTTCTACAGGCACCACATGCACATGGTGCTCTTGAATATACTCAGGCACACACATGTACACATAAACAAACTTAAGGGCTGGAGAGATGGCTCAGAGGTTAAGGGCACTGTCTGCTCTTCTTGAGGTCCTAAGTTCAATTCCCAGCAACCACATGGTGGCTCACAACCATCTGTAATGAGATCTGGTGCCCTCTTTTGGCCTGCAGATACACATGCAGGGAGAACACGATACATAATAAATAAATTAAAAACAAAGACTTAAAATACAGGGGGTTCTGTATAAGAGGAAAGTCCTTTGCTAACTACTCCATAGGAGCTGGTTAAATACACTTGGCCCAAGACCTTGGTTAGTGCTGGCCTTCGGAGGACCACCTTGACACATACTGCCTGACTCTCAGTGTGTGTTAAAGATGTGGGTAGGCCTCCCTGGCTTCACCATCCTATAGTCCTTTGTTCCTTCTGTCTGTGAGCAGTGGGCATGTACAGTCCTGGGGCAGCCATGTGTGACTGAATTAATTGTGGTACTTGGAATCAACCAAAAGCTTCCAAACACTAGTCGAGTGCTCATCACTGAGCTGTAGCTCAAGCCTGACTTTGGATGTTTTAAAACTGATCCTTAAAGCCAAGAGATGTTTGGAGACTGAAAAACAAAGTGATGACTTCAGATGATCTAGTTTACATACATTAGTAGAAGTCTTGCTGGGTGCTGGTGGTGCATGCCTTTAATCCCAGCACTTAGGAGGCAGAAACAGTCAGATCTCTGTGAGTTCAAGGCCAGCCTGGTCTACAGAGTGAGTTCCAGGACAGGTTCCAAAGCAATACAGAGAAACCCTGTCTTGAAAAACCAAAATAAATAAATAAGCCTTTTGATAAGAAAGAGCTTCAAGTGGCTCACAGTGGTAAACTTTCCCTTAGAAGAAAACTGCTTGAATGCAATACTTTAAAGGTTTAGAAAAAGAGTAAATGACTGTGCAAATGTTGCTTTGTTTATGCTCTGGGTGATCCACTTTGGTAAGGATGCTGGAGGCTTTGTCTTTCAAAGTGTTTGCTTATTAGTGTTTTCTACAACTAAAGATCCACTCCAATGTTACAAGTATGACTACATGCTGTGCACTGCTTCTGATTTTACTTCTGGAGAAACAGTTGGGCTTGAGAGAAGGATAAGCAGTATTAGGACTTTATGTTACAAGTGGCAGAATACCCAACCTCAAACAAGGCAGGCAAAAAAAAATATGGCATTACCAAATAAAATGTCCAGTTTCAAGAATGAGTTACATGTTGCTGAGTCATTGGCTGAAGTGGTCCCATAGATCCTCCAAACACCCAAGCTATTGCCAAGGATATTAGTTACCCTCCATATCCTGGTGGTAAAGCTCTGTTGTTGAAAAGACCACTTATTTATGTCATTAAACATGGAAAAACCAATCTGGTCCTCAACAAGAAGATTTATCCCTACTGACCAGCACTCATGTTACTGCAAGGTACTCTGCACACTACCAGAGGAGAAAGGTAATCATTAATACTACCAAGCTACAAACACTGAAACCTACAATAGAGACCTTCCTGCAAGTTATACTGGTGTAATAGTGGCACAAAGGTTAGGGGCGTAATCAATCGCATTTTGTTTGGATTCAAGGCCTACTCCATGAGATGACACTTATACTTTGACATTGCCAAAGTGGCCAAGAACCTGAGAGTACATAGGTTATGGGCCCTAAGGGAAAACCTACTACTATTATTCTGCTAAAAGAACATAGCAATAAAATGATTCCTAAGGGTATATTGTTTCTGATAGTTCGAATAAAAATGCCCCCACCCTGACTTATAGAGAGTGGCAATATTAGGAGAAGTGTCTTTGTTGGAGTAGGTGTATCCTTGTTGGAGAAAGTGTCACTGGATGGTGGACTTTGAGGGTTTCAAATGCTCAAGCCAGGCCCAATAGGTGTCTCTCTCTTCCCACTGCCTGCCAACACAGATGCAGAACTCCCAGCTACCTCTCCAGCACCATGGCTGTCTGCATGCTGCCATGCTTCTGGCCATGATGACAATGGACTAAACCTTTGAAATGTAAGTCAGGGCCGGTTAAATACTTTCTTTATAAGAGTTGCCATGGTCGTGGTGTCTCTTCACAGCAATAGAAACACCAACTAAACATTGCTATACCCATAGATTAGTGTCTCACTCAACCCTCATCATAAAATATTCTTCTTACAGTATAAGTATATGGTAATTAACACAGAGACCCACAACTGGAAAATGTGCAGAGTGGCTTTGGAGCACTCAGTCCTACATGGATGTTTCCATCAAACCCCTCACCTCAAGACTCAGGTATCTGTTCAGAAGAGGAGGTGGAAAGATTGTAGGAGCCAGAGGTGGTGAACGACTCCAAGAAAACAGTGTCTTTGAAACACCATGGGATTGATGCACATGTGACTTCACAGAGACTCTGACAGCACTCACGAGACCCGCAGAAATTCAAGCCAGACAAAATTCCAGCAGAGAGAGGTGGAAGTGAATATAAAACCCCACCCCTAACCAAGACACTATTTGCAATTAGTACTTCCTGGAAAAGGTAGAAATCAAATCACTTTTCTCCAACCGAGTGTCACTGGATATATCAAGTGTGTGTGTGCGTGCTTTTTCATTTTCATTGTTTTGATTTTTTTGTCTATTTTCTTATTTTTTTTTCTGAGAGAGAAAACATGAAGTTGGGTGAGTAGAAAGATGGGGAGGATCTGAGAGAAGTTGGGGGAGGGGAAGAGAAGGACCAAAATGTATTATAAGAAAACAGCCAATAAAAATGAATGTCTTAGCTGGGTGTGGTGGCACACACCTTTAATCCCAGCACTCAGAGGCAGAGGCAGGAAGATCTATGTGAATTTGAGGCCACCTTGGTTTACAGAGTGAGTTTCAGGATAGCCAGGGCTACACAGAAAAACCCTGTCTTGAAAATAATAATAATAATAATAATAATAATAATAATAATAATAATAACCTTAAACTAGACCTAAAATATAAAAAATAAAATAATAGGTA